TTTTTTCATGAAAAAAGTGTGCCTTTGCACAAAAAAGGTTGAAAAACACTGTTCTACACCATCCCCATGCTACCCTTGTGTCCTTGGTTTTAACGGCTGATTTTAACTCTTTATGTTTTAGCTATATATATAACTGAAAGCCTCCCAGAGGTACCCTATTATAAGATGGGCAGCCAATAAATTTAATTAATTATCTCACAGAAAGCTTTAGAGAAGGATAGAACTAGTCAGGGTTTTTCTGCTGTTTCTGTGCCCCAAATGAAAGAAGGTTCAGTTTCCCTTCTAAATTTTCCAGAACATACGGTTGACCCATAGGATAGTCATGTAGCTTCACGCTCATTAGAAAAGGAACAGATGAAGAAATCTTGCTGATTCGAATCTAAATAATTGCACTGATGTGAACTTCCCAAGCCATGGGTTACTTGCCCACTGACATGCTAAAGACGATTCCTGAAATTATCTTTTGTATTGATATTGGGTGATTGTTTATAAAGTAAAAAAAAAAAGGTGAGAAAAGTTGGCATTATGTTACTTGTTTGCTTGGATTACTTTTATCAATAGGAGTCTTATTAATTTCATTGGGAAAGATACACATCAATTCAGAAAATCAAAAAAGGGCAACTTTTTCACAGAACTGTATTTGATTCAGCAAGGCTGCCTTCTGTGGTTTGTTGGTGGTGCCAGCCTTTGGTATATGGCCTATTTCAATTAGGATTTCACTGTGAAATTAGGTAGGGAGCGCGGATCTGAGACTAATTAAACTGAAGCTTCATCTTTAAGGAACTTAGTCAAGGGCCATAAATCTTTAGCCACTGAACCGTTTTTGAATGCAAATTACCTTAAACTGCTATCAGCAAATGTAAGCTTCAGTTCTCCTATGTAAAATTAGAAAGGAACCTGGTGTCTACTAATGGATTCTAGAAACATTCCTCTCTATGGAAACTGGTCCTTTTAGAAAGACTGTACTGGTCCTATAGTAGTATCTGCCCTTACTGTAACTTGCATTAGCAAACTTCTCTGATGTGCATTGAGATGACTGCTTCTTGCCAAAGATTTTGACGATGATGCATGATTACTTTGCTTGCCCAATGAAGCAACTAGATACTGATTTTTAACCGCAAGACTAAAACTAAAACCGGTCATCTTGCCAAGCTATTTATGAGCATAGAATATCAGACACTCAAGGCCAGTTGGCATGGTAAGTCAGTGGAAGGAATAACTATAATTGCCAGGCACTGAAAATAAATTATAAGACTCTCACTTTAGGAAGGATAATAGATATTGTAACACAATTCTGGTTACATACTTAATTACAATTTGACCTAAACTGGTAGTGTTAATCTGCTATGTAAATTAATGAAATGTGCAAAAATATTTGAATGTCTTTAGAAGTTTGTTGTGAAATTAAGATTTCTTTATCCTTTTTATTAGGTAAGATAGTGAGCACGGGTAATAATTTCTAAACAAAGATGATTCAAATTTTTATCAAGAGAGCATTCAGCATACAGATTTTCCTCTCTTAATGACCTTAATTGAACCTGGAATTTTGATTGTAAACCATTTGTGGTCATTAAGGGAGTCATCACGTGATCTGACTTGCATTTATGACCGTTTTTACAATCGTGGTCAATTAGCAAATCCATTCTCGCAAGGGGGTGTTTTTTGCCAGAACCAGAAACCAGCTAAAAAAAACCTCTGTAAATTGTGTTCACATGACTGGGATGCTGCATCTTGTGACCTGCGGTGAGGTTTATGGCTGGTGAGGCAAGCGGGCAAAAGCCGCTCTATGTCTGCCAGCGGCGGGGCTTCGAGGGGGCTTTCCAAAAGCCCCCCCGAAGCCCTGGTGCGGCTTTCCGAAAGCCACGGTGAAGCCCCAAACCCCCGGCGCCAGCCTGGTGGCTTCCTACCAGACTCCCAACTATGAGCCGATGCCGATCCACCCAACCTTCTCACACACCCTGGCTGCTGCAGCTGTCCTGCAGCGTCAATCCACAGCCGCAGGCTGAACCGCTGTCTGCCCGAAGCCCCAGCATGACTTTCCGAAAGCCCCGGCGAAGCCCCAAAGCCCTGGCATGGCTTTCCGAAAGCCCTGGCAAAGCCCTGAAGCTTCTCACCGCCGCCGCGCTCCACCGCCTCTTCCGACGAACAATCCGCTTTCTTCAGCTCGGACGGAGCCAGGACACCCAAGCTGCTGGCGGCAGCGGGGGCCACCTGAGTGGCCATGATCCCCCCTCCCCAGCCAGCCAGCCAGCCCATTCTTCCCCCCCGGCGCGGTGAGCTCCAGTGGGCTGGACGCGGGTGCGAGGGGCCTGGCAAAAGAAAGAAAG